AGTCCTGAAGGGGACTTCTACGATTTAAATAGTTACCAGTGATTACCCCGCGATATGCATACGTGGGACATCGACGAATATGACATACGAAAAGGTCACTCACATCAATGAATATGATCCGAACGAAGGCTTCGACGAAAGGGTAGAGCACTGGCGTGTACTTTTACCGGTTCGTGGCCGAATAAATGGCTGCCAGGCTGGCGAAATTGCGGATAATAATGTTCATGTCATTTCAAAGAAGCCTACCTGCATCACGGAGGAGAGACCTACTTAGTCTTGGCGGCCCGGAGACTGAACCTGCAACGAAGTGTAACAGTTTTGGCACGTCCTTGTATGTGCAGAGCACGCCGCATCGTTGGCATAGCTCGCCTCCTACCAGCAGATCTACAGTCTTGGCGGCCCGGGGCAGTAACCGTTAATGAAGTCCGAGTCTAGGTAGGTTCTAGTCAGCGCCGCGTGTAAGTATATCCGACTTGCAACGTTGCGTGTAAAGCACATCGTATTATCGATGGTACTGGCATCAGGCGGTGCGGTCTTCTGTCAATCCCGCCCATTATACTGGCTACGAAAAGCCGGTGTGTATGCTCAGGACCTAGCCTGCAGGATCTGTCAGAAATTCAATCTGGACGACCCACGAAACGAAGTCTCACCCACACATACCCCATACCAACCCCACACTGCCCACATGCACTGTCCTCGGCTTCTACCCAGCTACCGCCGCCGGCCCACATCAAGGAATTTCTCCGCGAATTGTGAAAATGGAAGCAAAGAAGCAGGGTGGATGACCAAAAGTAGACACAACATGGCAGTCCTTATGATCGTTGATCAATTGAGTATTTCTTCGTGTTTTGCGGTGGACGGCGGCTTCTGCACGTCTTGGACGCCACCTGCAAGTGAACACTGGGAAATGGCATGAGAAAAGAGGCCCGCGCGGTCCTCGCGGTCCGTCGAGTGCGTTGTACAACGTTGAGTGCCGTAGTGTCTGCGGTAATGTATTCAGAATGAGGTTACTTCGAAGACCGAAGGTAATCCGACACGTAGAGGGTTGCATGTATAAAAAGTGAGCTTTAAGGCAGCGGAGAAAGCAGAAGAACTTGTTCCTCTATTCGCAGCAACTGCAACAGGTTAAACCATGAAGTGGCTTGTATCTGCTATCGCTTTCCTCGCTGTCCAGGTCGTTTCGGTACGTGTGCTCTTGTAGACAATGGCAGCAAGCTGTTGACAAAAACAAAACACAGGCTTCTCCTTTGGAGAAACGGGCGAGCGTTAACGACGTCGCGACATTAGGCTATGCTACTCTCAACGGAGGGTAATCATTTCGGCCTCGTCGTTGGGAGTTGTGCTGAGACTTCCATAGAACCTCTGGGGGCTCTGGGGGACCGACCACAGTCGTGACTTCCCTTGCTGCTCTCACCTCGGCTGTCACTGGCGATGCGAAGAAGGTCGTGATCATCTCTGGTATATTCGACCTGTAACATTAAGCACACTCAGCATGCTAACGATCGGGTAGGCACTATCACTGGAAATACCGTCGTCAGAGTCGGGTCAAACACCTCCGTCCTGGGTAGAAATGCTGGTAGGTGGTTCTCCGCCAGTCAACGCACTTGGATCATAACGTATTCTGGCGTCAGTGCTCAATGGTGTCGGGCTCCGCGTCATCAACGTGAACAACGTCATTATCCGTAACATCAAGATTTCCAAGGTGTTGGCATCGGCCGGCGATGCCATTGGCGTCCAAGCTGCTCACCAAGTTTGGATCGACCACCTCGACTTATCTAGTGACCGTGACCACGACAAGGACTTGTGAGTTCCTCGTCAACGGATTGGGATTGAGAAACTAACCACTTGATCTATACAGCTACGATGGTCTCCTCGATATCACCCACGGGTGCACTGGCGTCACTGTGACCAACACCATATTGCACGATCACTGGAAGGCCTCCTTGGTCGGGCACTCCGATAGCAACGGTTCCGAGGATGTTGCCATTACTGTCACCTACGCCAACAACGTCTTCTCGAACTTGAACTCCAGGTGCGCGCGATTCATATATCTATCCCCTCATTAGCACCCCTGAGACTCAATTTGTGCACAGAACCCCCTCTTTCCGCTTCGGCCATGGCCACATTTTCAACAACGTGTTCGACAACAACAACGACGGCATCAACACGCGCGATGGTGCTCAGCTTCTTGTTGAGAACAACGTCTGGACTGGTAAGTACCATTGCTTTTCTGGTGATGGATATAACGCTTACCTGTCTATTTAGGAACTGACAAGCCCCTCTACGCGACTGACGAGGGCTTCGCTGTCGCACGCGGAAACGATTTCGGAGGTGCATCCAACACTGCACCCGTGGGCTCCTTCACATCTGCCCCCTACTCGTACTCGATGGTTGTCGCAGGCAGCGTTAGGTCCGCTGCATCCTCAGCCGGAGCTACTCTTTCCTTCTAAGTTAGTTAGTCCGATTGCTACATTGCATGGAATTTGGCCAAGCGAAAACTGTGTACCTTGATATGTGCTTCTTCCCTCCCGTGTCTTCAATATAAACCTCTTCTGCCGAAGTATTGTGATTTCCAAGTCCGAAGCTTGGGGCCGTGAGGTGCAACGGTGTGAACCGGTGCCGGTTGGAATGCCTCGTATTAATCTGATAATAGAGAAACCAGCTTTACCTATTTACCGGCACCTTCATGGGAGTCAAGCGCTAACCATGTTCCAAGAATCAGTGACCTACCCAGCGGATGAAAGTTACCCTTTCGCCGTGGTCGCGAAACGATACTGGACAGAGGCCTTTGAGGCCAATACCAGCGACCCTGAAGCCCCCACCTTGATATTCCTTCATTCAACCAGCTTTCATAAAGAGACATGGGAGCCGACACTGACACACCTCTTTCATCTCTTGGCCGGCTCGTCGCGAGCGGGGAAAATCAGGGAAGCTTGGGCTTTGGACTGCCCAAACCATGGTGAGGCATCAGCGATCAACGAAGCGGTCTTCAACCGGCCAGAAAATCGACAATCCTGTGAGTGCCAGCCATTCCGTTGGTGGTTGAGTTCCGTGATGGTCAGTGGGCGCTAACATCAATCCTCCGTACTCGCTGGATCCAGTCACTTGCGAAAAGTACGCCCAAGCCGCACACCGTTTCTTGACCGCAGGGCCTCAGCATGGCGCGAAAGTCGACTTTCTGCGCAGGAATCTTGTAGGGATAGGGCATTCGTTGGGTGGGGTTGCCATGTACGTTCCCCAGTTCGCCTGTGCATCTCCTTTGAGTGAATCTTGGATCCCAGGTCGGCCTTGCAAGGGCTTGAGCCTAGACTGCCATTTTCTTCGATAATAATTGTGGAACCCATGCTGAGCCCAGATGGACGCCATCATCTTGAACGCCTGCGAAAGGCCCTCGTCAAAAGCGCGAAGGAACGTCGACATGTTTGGCCTGATCGCGAATGTGCCAGGCAGTATCTTCAGGAGAGAATGAAGCTGCCTGGAAGGCAGATATGGGACCCTCGTGTCATTGATCTCTTTGTCGTGCGTCCCCTCGCCTTTCCGCAACAAAACCGTTCAAAAATCTTGGGAGCAGGAGTATGGTCTCAAACCTCATCCAAACGGTATCACTCTGGCGTGCTCTCGCGAAGAGGAAGAAGTAAGCTGAAGTGGCTCAACTTCTAATTCTTGGATTCGCCCACTGATTCTCTCCCCCTATCAGGGAATGTATGAAGATGTTGAAGGTCCAACTCGCCCAGTTATTGCATTGACTGCAGCTTGTCAGCGCATGCCTGTACATATTGCATTCGGGTGCCTCGTCGACTACATGTGGCACTCCTCCTCTTCGCTTCGATACTGCACGTATGCTAATCCACATGCATCTACAGACCACTCCAAGTTCGTGCTGCTACGATCGATCCTCGATCCGGACGCAAGTTCGCGAGTATATCGTGGATCGAAGGTGTGGGCCACCTGGCACGTTACCATAAGCTACTCGCCCTGTTCCCCCATCCTAACGTTTCGGTCCCCAGGTCCCACAAATCGTACCAGAAAAACTAGCCACAGTGCTGTTCAACGGACTTGCGCAGAACTACGCTACGAAGTCAAAACTCTGATATGTTGCTGCTCTGTGGACTTGTTCTCGACTTTGTTCTTGCAATGCTCAGTGTATTACCTTGCTTTAGCAAGGTCCCCCCCCCCCACAAATCTCCTTTTTGGGCGACACATCTGCAGGCACAGTGATGGATGATGACACAATTTGCGTGACACATCTGCAGTCACATGTCTGTTAGTGATCAGTACTCAGTTGGCAGGACCCCGGACAATGGATGTAAATGCCTGTCCGGGCTGATGCCGTTCATGTCCTATTCTTTTCGAGCGCCTTCGGCGCATTGGTGTCCTATTTTCAGTAGGCCTTCAGTAAATCGGCCTGAAAATTGTCCTCAAAATTCAACAGGCCCGAATCAAGTCCCAAAACGTCCGAAATAGCAAACAGGCCTAAAAAAGGCGCACAATTTGTTCTTTTGACTCTCACCGTTGCTCATCCGTTAGATGGAGCACTTCATGAAAGTATAGTTCCCTGAAAACACTCTTTACATGTCTGGGTAAGTGGACAGGCCAATGCTGCCAAAGCGTTCAAATGTCCAGGGATTCTGACGGGGATTTAGGCCTATTTCGGGTGCCAAATGTCCGTTTTTGGCCTAACGGCCTGGCGAGGTCTTCTGGTGTCCGTTCCCACGCCTGGGTGTACTGGGGTCCTGTTGGCACTGGGCAGTCACCAAATGAGCCTGATTAGGTCAGGCGATGAGGTGGGCCTTCAAGATGCACCTGGCAATGAATATAAGGGCATACTTGAGTTAAGGTGTTAATTATCCAATAACACAACCACAAAGCAAGGTCTGGAGTGCCAAAGGCACTCTTTAATTATCTAACTAATAGTAACTATGGACTAAATTTCGTGTCGTTTTCGAAGGATTTGCGGCATGGCCGCAGCCATGATACATTGGGTGCGTTGCCTCTTTAACGGCCGACTAGCTCAGCTGGTTAGAGCGTCGTGCTAATACAAATTCGAGCGAATCTGGCGATTGCCGCGCGGTTCTTCGTGCGGTAATCGCTAAATTCGGTCGGATCGTTACGCGAAGGTCTTGGGTTCGATCCCCACGTTGGCCATAGTTCTTTTTCTCGCTTCCCCATGAATATGTTCATGTTCCTTGTTTTTGGCGGTTTTGACAGATATTTGGCACGCATCTTCTATGTTACGTATAGGTCATGAATCCATATATCAACATTTGAAGTACGGGCTACAAGTTTGCTACTACTTCTCTACGAGCCCAACCTCCCACCTCCGAGCCCTCTTCCCCAACAATTGATCGCCAAACCAATAATCTACAAGTGAGTGCATCCCAGGCTCCATTCAGCTGCCGGACAGTCATCCCGGCACGCCAGAGATTTTCAACTATCTCTCCCCAAATGTGTAAATCATCAGTATCTTCGAGCTCTTCGAGGCCAAAGAGCTCAGCGGAAGGATGGGGAGGATCACGCGAGGTGGATGGGGCCTTCACAACGATGCGCTCCAGTCCGTGTACCTCGGTGTTCTCCTCAGTCACTCGGAGAGTGTCGATGCACGTCTTCAGTAGATTGGGGAGCTTTTGCAAGGGCGTGCCAGGCAAGAGGCTGAGTCTCAACACAACGGGTGCTACCGTGCGGAGGATATGGAGTCCGAGGGCTTTTGCGTACAAATCAATAAGCTCAAGGATAGTGAATATAGAGGAAGACTTACTGGGCGTTGCTTCTTCTAGTAACGTCAATAAACATCGCAGAATTGCCTCCCGCCATGCACAACCGGTGGCGGACTCCACTTTTGATGGATCTACGATAACCATGATGTTTTCAAGGATTTTGACCCAAGCAACCGCTTCGAGATTGCGGCAGTTCGTCACCTGCATCTCGATCCACGAAAGCAAGGCCGACTTAAGTACTAGCGATGTAGTGGCTTGCACATTACAAGTGATATTTGCCAGCACCTAAACGAAGCTCAACTCAACCAGGGGCATTCCTGATCGTAGAAAACACTCACATCTAGAACGCCATTCCTCAACGCTCTGTCGTCCGCAGAACTTTGGTAAAGGCTAGCAAGTAGATCCCAGGTATGCCTCCGTTTGAGAACCCTCCAATCATTTGTGCTGATCATCCCGTCCGAAAGGAAGCGGATAATCCAACCCCGTTCCTTCTTCCAATTGTCCGACGAACTATACAGCATTCCGTACAGCATTGGGATGTCATGCGTGTCAAGCTCGGGCCTTTGAAGAAGGAAACTTGATGTCATCGGATATATGAAATTGGATGGATAAAAGATGGCCCTAAGGGCATGGAGGAGGATCAGTGTTGAATACGAAGGAAGCCTCTTGGTAGGCGTGTCGGAAGGGGCATCCAAAGTATCTTTAAGCAAGTTGAGGATGTAGATGACGTGTGGGCGTTCCTGCATATCGGCATTCTGAAAATGGTGTCAAAACCATGCCACGAGTAACATTGTATAACTTACTTGAATAGATCCCCACAAAGCAGCCATCTGCAACAAGGCTATCTCGCGGATTTTCTCATCTTTGGACGACAGCATTCGAATGACCAAACACACAATGTTCGTTCGGAATAATTCAACCCAAGCGAGGGCAGAGGTCGGGGGGCTTTCCGACATTGCTTGAGCAAAGAGCAAAAGCAAAAATATGGGATCGTAAAGGAGAGTCTCGTGTCGACCAATGATGTGAACCTCTTGCACTTCGAAACGGCGCCAGTGAGGGAAGCCAAGGCACGTCCGCAGAACTTTACCGGGATCGAGACTACGAAGTGCGTCGGAAGCGTCCGCTGAAGAAATGTCAGGCGACGATGACCAGCTAGATAATAGCGGGGCCATGGACGTTGTACGATGAACTTCAAACAGCCTGAAAATGGACAGTATCTGCTGGTCAGGCGGTGACAAAGACCCCTGATAAATGCGGATCAGAGGCTCTACGTGCGTCGGTTGACATGTATTAGCTGGATGCAGATGGAAAAGCGTCGACAACAAATTGATAATGGCGTCTCGGGACGACGACAACGAAATTTTGAAGAATTGTGGATGCTGGAGGATGTTTTGGAGGAAACGATTAATGACAACAGGCTACCGAGTTGGAAAAATTAGGTCCGCGTATTTTGAAAGCGAGCGAGATTCTAACCTTCAATGGGACTACTTTGACAAGTGCACCGGATAAGTCAAGCGCAGATTTATTGGCGAGACATTGCTTGCTGATGACGCTAAGAAGAGGTTCCACTAGATGGGATTTGATGTTCGCAGTGACGAGAGGGACTGGTAACGGCATTCAAATGAAGTAATTGATGTAGAAGATGGAACGTACTAAGGCGTATCATGGTTTCATCGCCTTCACTGTGATGATCTTCCTCTCCAAGAAAGCTGACCAAACCTTGCAAGGTGTTTGTTACAATGGACGCAACGACAGTCTGGTGTTCTCCAAATGGGAGGATGCGAGCTACGGCTGTCAGTATTTCTGCTGGCAATGTGCTTCCGGGGAGGTTGGACATCTCAGATACGATACAGTGGGTAAATTGGGTCGCCTCGGCAGGGACTGATAGTAGCAACGACGACATACACCAGCCACAACGAGCGCGCATTTCCCGGGGGTGACGAGGTTCGACCGTGGCTTTCAAAAGTCGAGTAAAATGGGGCAACCATCCATCGCCTTCAAGTTTGGGGATCGGCGTCCCTCTGCTGTTATGGGCGTCTAATATAGCATGGAGAACTATGGCAAAATCGTGCGTAGATCGATGCGCGCAGTTGTCTGTCCCCACCCATTTCCAAAATGTGTTATACGGAGAGGTATGTCGGTATAGAAGCGCACTGATAATTCTGACAGTAGATGGCGACCATGACGTTTGATAAAGAAACGATTTCAGGTCGAGTTCACTTGGTGGAGCATCCAATCGGTGCGCCCAGTGCGTTTCTGCCCTCCCTAGCAAAGTATGGATGGAATTCGGGCTACCGGATTCGATGTGTTGATGGCGAGCGTCGTGAGCGTCGTGGCCAATCGGTAAGGAGGATTCCAGGGCTGTTGCCACGATATCTTCCAGTACATAGAAGCCGGACAGAACAGGGCGGAGAGCAAGCAGCTGTGGAAGTCTGGATCGTAGTTTCCACTCGAAGCTACTATCGTCCGATCTGATTGATCGTTTTATCGAGACCAATAATTCCCTTAGCACGGAAACAGTAGAATGATCGGGTGTATCGCTCAGAGAGTCGGTAATAGAGTCGAAGAGTTCCAGTAATGGCTCAGAGTCCATGAACTGTATCCACCTAAGGGCGTTCGAAATCTAGATGAGTTGTTGAGCCCTATATCCTTGATCCTGTCTTGCTCCACCTACGTCGTTACTGTTTCGACTGCTGACCGACCTATTGATAAAGGCCTCCCAAAACTTCGCTATTTCTGCGGCGATGCGTCTGTCTTTTGCATCATCAGCATCCAGGCAGTCAATGAACCGGCTAAGAGCTATAACGCAGGTCAGCTAGATCAACCAGACAGAACGGTCACAATACCATTCTTTGTATTGGATGGAATTTCCTCGTTTGTGCATATTTCGTGGATAGCTTTGATCTCTACGAATGTGTACGTCTTCAGGTCCATATAATCGCTAGACGACATGACACCCTCGGTCTTTCGCAGAATGGAAGCAAGCAAATCCAACGCTCGGCATGCATGTCGATTTTCGTTGGACGGGGCTAGTAAATGCGCAACCAGCTGGATGGCCCTTTTTGCGTTGACGAGAGTCAGACCTTCGAGTAGAGAGTCGACTAGGATGGCTTGTGGTCCTTCCTCCGACAATGCCAAGAGGTCTGCATGGATGTACAACCACTCGAAAGGCAGACTGCTAGAAGTCATCAATTTTCGGCATATCTGAACATGTACTGATGCTCACTGGGTGGCGAATTTGCCGCGTTTTGAAACGACGTCGAATCCGTCCCAAAGCAAACCGGATGACAGGTCCAGACACTCGACTAGATACTGGCACGCAGGAGGGTAGTACCCCTCGATGATGGAAAGTATCTGCCTGACGTCCACTGCCCGCAATTTGCTGCCAAAGAACCTAAGCTGACCAACTAATTCGAAAGCTGCGGCGATACGATCTGGCGCGGCCAATGCTGAAAAGGTGTGAGGATGATATCGGTCATTTATACATATGGACAACTCACGGATACTTCTGGATTGAGCCTCAGTGATCAAGGTCTGGACTGCACCATTGCCTTCCGAAAATTGTGTCGGGAGATCGCCCCCCATTGCTCGTGCTAGACTCCTCTCCAACATGCTCACCTCCCACATCAAAGCATCCTTGATGCTGCCTTCCAGACCTTCATTACTCACGTCCCGGAAAATTCGAGCAACCTCGCGACCGAAGGCTGTCAAGAACTCCAAGTCCGGAAGATGGCCCAATAGCCGGAACACCAACTTCCGCGAGAAAGTAACGAGAGCAAGCGTGTCGGAAGGACTAAGCACTTTATGCTCCAATTTCGCCTTGAGTTGATCAAGCAGCGCCATCATGAGGGGACTCGGGAAGGCGACCTTAGCCCCGTTAACGAGGGACTGCATTCCTTCCATATAGCCATACACCTTCTTCTGACATCTTCCGAAACAGTCATCCAGAAAGTTGACTAGACCTTCGCCTTCATCGTTCAGCAAGGTGCCATCCGGTGTGGTGGAATTCCGCAGGCGCGGCGTCGATGGCAGGCACCGCAACCATAGTTCAGGTTCAAGCGAGTTCATCGAGCTATTGGCATTGGCTTGGAAGACGAGGGTTTGGGAGAGCAGGTGTGTAAGCGCCGATTGAAGTTTGTTCCGAATTGCGAGCACATCGGTATCGATATACCTCTTCAAGAGCATGTAAAGGTTCGAGCGCGACGCCGAGCCTAAATGACTATTAAAGAAGGGATCACCTACAACCAAATGGGACATTACCGGATTTCGCGGCCAAAGCAAAGGAGTCTACCTCTTCCAGCAACCCCAAAGTATGCAACTGCGCCACAATAGCCAGTCTTTGTGTGGCGCTACGCTCTCCCGTTCGAACCACCCCAGCCTCCTCACCTACGTCTAGGCTCGATAGTAGTTTCCCAGCGTCAAACTTGGCCT